TGCGCGGCGTAAATGCCGCAGTGTTTAATTACGTCGTTGTTTCAACAAAAATAAAATAGTAATAGTAATAAAAAGATAAAGATAAAACATGCGACCGAAGAAATTAATATCATAATATTTTAATTTTAGAAATACTAAATGTCTTGATTATAGCGTCTAAGTAATGTATTTTGACGAGGTGCATTAAAAAAAAAAAAATGTCTTTTTAATTGTATTACATTAAACGTTTTTTACGAGACTATATTATTATTTTTAGTAGTATAATAAAAGAAAAAAAAGTAATTTAAGCCATTATGTAACGGCACTAATCTATTTAAAAATAACACTATACTACCCTAATAGCCTTTGACATTAATTTTATAATTAAATACGGAGTTAGGTATTTATTATTATGATTTTTATTTTTTATTTTTTTACCTTTACACGCATTTATTCGGTGAAAATAGCTTTTCGTAATAATTTGTTTTTCCGAGTAATTTTTTTTTTTACTCAAGTCGTTGATTAAATCATGAAAATTTTGTTCAAAATATCCAACAAATAATATTGTATTTATACACAAGACACAATATTTATCTTGTATACTCGTATGTGCAGTTATTAATATAAGTAGGTACAATTTATTATTTAATATGTAGCAAGTTCCATATAATTCAACCGTAATGTACTATAACAGCAGCTAATGTGAAATGTCACTGTATTCTGTGTGTAAATGTATAATGTGAAATTATCCATTTCTGCAGTGAGTTCTGATATAAATTATTATTGCGAGCAATTTAAGTTAATGTTCTATGTTCAGAGATAAAATTTACGTGGAAGATATTTCGTAATGATTTAGACAATTTTCGCTCATTATAGTTAGTGTAGTTATAGTATAGGTACAGCGCAAAATAAATATAATATATTGTACGTACATAAATAACCCGAATAAAGTTGTTATTGCTATGGTACACTAACTACAATATATTTATTATATTATACATGTGGAGACGTATTTAGTCCTTGGCACAATAATAAACATTAAAAATTGTTAATGTCGTTAAACTGTAAAAGTATACAATGTTATTAAGCATTGAGATAAAATCGATTTTTATTTGATTTTACCATACATTAAAATTAGCATTTTCTATATATGATAATATTTTCAAAATATTATGAATGTATTTGAGCTATCTGTGACTTCTATTGAAATTGTATACTTTTTAGTCTTTTTCTCATAAAATATCGATAAAAATTTAACGCTGGTTGAAAAACTCGGAAATTTAATACTAGGATTCTTACAAGTTGTCATAATATCCATCTAAAACATTGCAGATGTGTATGCACAACTTTTTTTTTTAAGCATTTGAAGTTCAAATTTATTTTGACAAAATTAGTCAGGTATTGCCTCAAAAGTGTACAACAAATATTAACAATAATACAATAATATGATAGAAATATAGGTACACTATTATAATAATTAAATATTAATGTAATAAATGTACTATTTTCGATTAACATTAAATCAACCTACCGTAATACGAATAGTAAGACACGTTACTTAAATATACCAATATCAAAAAACACATCATGAAATTAATCTTAGCGATTGAAAAATGTGATACAAATTGAAAACACTTCTCGAATTCATAATAATACGTGTGATAAAGAATGGAAATTAATCTTAAATAGATGGTGACTGTCTATAATTGTTATTTGTTGAGCTATATTAGATAATACTTAAAGCTAAAAAAAAAATAGATGTGACACAACATTTGTAGTTTCCGTCCTCCGTCCATAAGCGCAATGACTATCGTTGAATTAAAGTTGTACACATCTATTACTGTAAAAATTAGATCGTCTCCACTCAGGATCACTCTTATCTTTGTTTTTGTTTGTCCCCATAGTTTGTAGGTAGTAGGCACCAAAGCCATAATACCTCATAATCTTTGAATAAGTTTTGAATTTCATATTGACTCATTTTGTCCATTTTAAAGATATTTTAATAAAGTTTAGTGGAACCACAGGCCCTTCAAACTTAATACTCTTTAACTTGTGCAAATATATTAATGATTACAAATTAAATGTTAGATATTTCGAAAATAGATGAAGTAATGGAAATTATTTTTAAAATTTAGTGGAATTTCGAAAGATGTATTATTTACACACGCTATGTCATACATTTTTTTCCCTAAATAATATAATTATTACTTCCTCAAGATATTTCGCACGCGATTATAATATATTTTTTCCCAATACCAGTTTCAATGTGCAACGGTATGCGGTTACTGATTAGAAAGAACAACTTGCAATTTATCAATATATCAATCAAACAAATTATAATTTATTAATTTCATATGAATGTTAAAAAATGGCCGATTAGTACCAAGACTAAACTCTACAGTCCTCTAATGTTTTTTATTTTATTAAACAAGTATTATATACTATTTAAAAAATGTAAAACAGTTGTATTGATCCATGAGTTAAAATAATTTATAAATAGGTAAAATTTGTAATAATTGATAATTGAGATTATTCGACGCTTCAACCATCGTAATTGATAACATTTTTATTTAATCTCACCAAATATATTTAAACGCGCAATAAATTATTAATACAATTTAAACAACTGTTGATTCGATATTGATAAGAAACATGTTTTCAATGAATTTAGTGCGTACACAAATGCCTTTCCTTTCTATGCGACTTGTATTTCCTTGGGAAATAGGAAGGCTTAGTCTAATATAGTAATTTGAAAGTATAGGTACTCATTTTTTATTTATTTTCAATATGTATAGTGATTGTTGGAAATTAAAATATATTTCATTCGCCTTTTAGTTTTTATAAACAATTTCAAACTCGATTTTATCCATCGATAGTCCATATTTTAAAATCTTACTGCTATAATATAACTTGTCGAGTACTGTCTGTCAATAATGTATGCAACGAATATTTGCACTTTTTAAAACAAATTACAAATTAAACAGTTAAAAAAAGTGACCGAAAACAGTCCATATAAAAATGTTATATTTTTTGGAGCCGATTCTAAGTGATCGCGAAGATCTACATCACCCGCGTCTATTCTGAACATCAATAATTCTTTAAATATTCCAATATTAAAATTATTCTTTGCTTGGTCATTTAATTCATTTTCAAACAACTCGTTATATGAAATCAGATTTGATAAATTAACATCGTCTCTATGCCCCCTTAAAGATATATTATGACGACCACAGAAAATAATTGTTTTAGTTATAGGAATTATCTTCTTTTTATTTTCTTTGACAGTTTCATTTAGTTGGTCATCTAGTTGAATTTATATTGTTTTTTGTTTTCCTTCAAAATATTTTATAAATTCTAAAGACCACACAATTGCTGTTTTATGATATTCTCTTTCCATATGTATCTTAAAATCTTGTAAAGCATCTTTGTATTTTATCATAGGCATTTCTTTTAAAAAGTCTTTGTCCTCCAACCCCACCAAACTTGGGTCCAAAAAGTGCACATACTTTACAAAATACTCCTTCTCTATTACGACTATAAGCTAACGTTGTGCTTATTTAGCCATTCAATTTGAAAGCTTCTTTTATGACCTTATTTATTCATACTTACAGGGAAAATATAATTTTGTCTTGGTGACCACGTTTCTTTTAAATATTTGTAAATCATATGTGGTTCGTTTCGAATTTTTAGATTTGAATTTTCTTCAATAGCAAATGCAATATCATATTGACTGTTAAAATCGACTACATACGAATCAGAAAATGCCGCTGGCTCTGACTCTGGTGGTAACACGGTTACATTTTCTATGCCTTCACTAAGAGATGGACTATTTTCAACACGAAGCTACAAACGAAAACTAAGGACAACAGTATGAATTACAATGACGACCGTTGTTATGGGTTAAATCTATATTATAATCGGGTGACAAAAAAATTAAGATAAGATAGCGATGGCTAGTGGTAAAGTTACACGGCAGAAATAGGCGATCTGCGTTTAAGGCGAATTGTCTTTATACCCGCATAATAAAAGTAATGTGTTTGGGAGAATTTCTTACACAATGTGTTTGAACGAAACAATATAAATGATAAAATTGTAAAAATTAAAATAAACACCATTGAATTAATAAAATTTAACTTATGCCAATGGGGAGAGGGGCGAGGCCCCTCGGTCCCCCCCTTAAATCCACCACTGCAATCTACTATGGTTTGTTGGAAAAAAGGAAATCGTGATGACCGCCAGAGTGAATACAAAAAACTTGCAACGAATATAAATCTATCCCGGAATATTTTATAAATCATGTAATAACTAGAGCTCGAAAGTTTTTGCATTTGCATGTTTTTTTGGGATGTTAGTTTTTTATTATGCTGAGTGAGGTTGAAATTAATTACGAAAAAAATTTAATATAAGCTTATAGTGCATTTTTTTTGCATAATTATTAGTGATTATAGATTATATTTCTCAATTATATCATTTTTAAGAGAATTTTTGATATGTTTATAATATAGTTTGAAAATTTGACAACAAAAAATACTTTATACGTAATGTTTATTTATGTTTATTTTTTTTAAGAGTTTTCATTATAAAGATATTATATAATACTGATCGCGTTTTTCAAATCCTTAGTTGCAGTACAATTTCCCATCTTTATTAATAAATATTTAGTGCAAATTATAAAATATAAAAATATTTGCAGTGAAAGTTACAAGTGAAGGAAGTGCGTATGTGTTTCGTACTATTTAAAGTGCATTAAGTCCCGAGTACTAGTAAGAATAACATTGCATGTACCCCGCGGATTTAGAAACGGGGGAGCCGAGTGAGGCTCAAACCGAGGGATTTCTCAAATTTAAAGCCCTTCGATTTTCGTAATCATCCATATATATTTGCAGTAAATACTAAATATACAACAAGACATTATATAATCGTCATATTTTGTTAATTGTCAATGCATTCGAGTCATTTGACTGTAGGCAGATAGTTAAAGCATAAGGACAACGCGATATTAATATTATCTTATTTTATAGTGCTGGATTGCTGATGCAGCTCTTATAGTGCCGCCGTGAACCGAAGCGCCTGCAAGCTGCAGGAGGTCGCGCACTCCGAGAAGTGTATTATTCAGGTATGGTATAATACTATATAATAATATATAAACTGCACCGGGTTCGCGATGTATACGCAAAGGAACGACGACACAAAAAACACGCGTTGGAATCTCGAGTTTATTTAGTCGAATAATATACAAGGAGTGGATTTATCGGCAGTTCATTTATATGTATTATTGTAATGCGGCGTATAATAGCATATATATATATATATATATATATATATATATGTACGCGCAGTGCATAATACACATTATAATATTCGGGAGAGAGACTCTATATAATATAATATCTTATGTGTACATACAGTGCGCCGTAGCGCGTCGACAAAGGGGCGTTTTGTGAACCTCAACGGGATCCTCAAAATCAATATTCGCACAATGCGCGGCGATCGACCTCGCGCGTGTATGTATGTATAAAAGAAAAAAAAATGATAATAATAATTCCGGTGACTTGTGCCCCGCATTATAGGTATTATACACACACACTCACTTGGTTATAATGCACTTCAGGTGTGTGTGTGTGTGTGTGTGTGTGTGTGTGTGTGCATATATATATATAATATATATATAGGTCGACTTGTATGCAGTATATATGTATAGGTACCCACCGCCTCCGTCCCCAGCCAATTATACGCTCATTATTCGATCGGCGAACCCCTCGGGCCGAGGAGATTGACGCCGCCGCAGCGGCTTTACAATAAAATAAATGTATAATAAAATATAAAAATATATAATATCGCACATGTGGAGCGCCTCCGCGGTTGGACGTCCCGCGTTCGCGCCCCGGCAGGTGCATCGTCCGTCCGTCCGTGTCAGTCTGTCACAGTCACACCCGCCGCGAGACGACTCCGAGTCCGCAGCAATATAATATATACTTTCGTCGTCCGTTGTTGTATTACCGCGTAAGCGTTATTGTATACACACATTGTGTGTACCGGGGGAGGTTTTTTTTTCCCGAAATCAAACAAAACGCTCTGCTGCGTCGTCGGGTATGAGAGAGAGAGAGAGAGAGGAGCCGCGCGAGTCTCTCGAAAAGTCATTTGTAACAAATTTCCAACGAGATCAGCTGCCCGCCTTATGTACACAATAATATGGAAATTTCATTGACCTAACTCGCGCGCGAGTGTCGAGCACAATGAAAAGGAAAAATAATAATAATAATAATAATAATAATAATCTTCGGCGAGTCGAGGACAACAATTACGCCGATTTAAGGCATGCTATATATATGTAGGTACCCGGAATAGTGGCGCGCGTGCTGCGTTCGTATACATTATTATTATTATTATTATATTATATTATGCATTGTTCGCCGAAAATAAATCTTGAAAGTATATTATATTATATTGGACGAGCATATTATTCGTGTACATAATATATACCATTTAATTCGGAGGCGCTTTGCCCGGTGCGAGTAATAAAAACTATATCGCCCTGCACCAGTTGCAGCAGGACTCTCGGCGACACCACGGGCTGCCGATCTCGTGAATTATGCGGTTTTCCGCCGGCCACTCGAAGCATTATTAGCATTATATAAACGCATATAATACGCCTCGCACAGCGGTATGAGGTAATAATAAAATAATAAAATATTATATGTATTATAAGATGAACCAGCGGCACCGGCCGTCGCGGCCCTCTACGAATTTCGTTATAACAAATCGTTCCGAAATCATCTGCTCCTCGTCTTAAGCATTTTTTTTATACATGGCAGCCTATGTTTATAGGTAGGTGTACGCGCCTAAACGTCTTATATCGTGGTTTAGGTGTGGTTTGGGGTTTTCTGCAACGATGTGTAACGTGTTATAATATAATATGTATTATTCAAGTACCGCATCTACTTACATACTGCCATAAAACGTCCCTCTGCAAACCTCTGAACAGAGCGTTATTTTTTTCAAACAAATTTGACGGCCTGCACTGTTTCAAAAATACAGAAAGAACAAACGTTTTTTTTTTGGTTACCTATTTATTTTATTAATGTGGGTAGTATCTATTGTTGTTGGACATTTTTGGTATAAGGTCCGTATCATTTGTCGAAACTTGAATGATTTTTTTTCGTACGAAGTTTGCACCAACAGTCAGCTTTCCTAAAACTTTAAAAAGTAGAAACAATGTACATAATATTTAGATATATTTCTGACATTGTTGGGTTAGTTTTTCGCGTAATTTGTTGGAAATTCGTTTTCTATATAATATGAGTTTTCGAATTTTACCAACCAACGAACTTTCGATATCAACAAATTACCTATACATAAAACTTACTAGGTATTTGGGTAAAACCAAACAAATATAGTGTATGGAAATGGATATTATATTTTTGGAATTCAAGTCCTAAACGTTTCGACGCATGCAATTTTTAAATATTAATAAAAGATAAGTAAAAAAAAATTGAGAAATCCACTTAATTTTTCGAAATAATTAAGCTTTATTTTATGTGTAGTCAGTCGTGCCAAGCAACGCTTTTTGAAGATATAATCGTACTTTTATATTCTCATATACCTCGATCCTTTGTCATTTTCAACACTCTTGTAATGGTCTTTTTTTTTTTTTTTTTGAAATATCGTTAAGTTATTTATATACGATTTTTATTTACAATTGATTATCTCGTTTAAGCATTTTATTTTACAAAATATAATCGTGTCATCGGTATCATTATTGTAGAGAATTAATGGATCTTTTTTATGATATTACATGGATTTAATAGTGTATATTTCACACGGTTTTTACATTCGAATATTATTACGACCCATAAATTGGCCAGCTGACTATATATAAAACCCACACCCACGCGGTACGGAAATCGTGATGTGATGTTATTCATGTCTTAGGCTATCGACCGACTTTTTGGAGGTGGTATATTTGTGGAGGCTTTTGAGTCATTTGGAGGTGCGAAATGGCGACGGTTGTGGTTGGTGGAAAACGATGAATGATGATAATATGGTACTATGGGGCATCGCCGATTTGCGCCAAATTTACCTACGTAAACATTTTAAATTAACGACTTGGTTAATTCTTATATTTTAAAGACGTCATGTATGTAACTTGTAGTAAAAAATATGTAAGTTCTATTAACTATTATTACTTATTTGCTATAAATTATAATAGTTCGTAATAATTTATTACCTATAGTTTTTAAAAACAATTTGTATTTATTCTGATTTTTTTAGCTATTATTGATTATTATTTTAAAAACATTCGTATAATTAATTATGATATTATATGGTATTAGGTATGTGGTTTGTAGTTTATTCCATCACAGGCCGGATTCGCTGTTACTTCATGTGTCGTGGCATGCAAAGGCGTATTAACTATATGGTTATAAGTTACAACTGGTTACAATATTGGTTTGAAAGTTGAGCTGCAGTCAATTCTTAGTGTATTCGATTGCGACTTGGTTATTACACGATACCAAAAAAGTAACGTCTAATCACAGTGGGGTTTGATCGACACGACATGACACACGATATAGTTGTGAACGCACCTTTATATTATATTCTTTAACGAAATTGCATTATTGATACTTAACGCAGTTTCAAGGAGGATGTAAGAATATTGCAAATTATGTAGTACTTATATTATGTCAGTATAGATTTGTATAAAATTAACGTGGCAAACTAAGCTACTGGATAACAATTTAAAACTCTGAAAATGTTTACACAACGTTCACTGTTGGCGTTACGTCCTCGTAAACGCTTCGAGACTTCGAGTAATAGGGGTAGAAGATACTATCTTCAAGATAGGCCAGGTACCTGTTTAATAATATAATATGACGCGTACTGTAATATCTTACCCATCGCTCGATAATCATCGTTATTATTTATTATATTTTATACAAAATAATATATAGTAAAATCTTTCGCGCCGTGGCGACGATACTTGCCGACCGTGAAAAATCGTTATTTGTGTCTCTCTTATATACAAACACAACATAATAATATATTATATAGGTACACACGCCACATTAAATATTATACTTATAAATTGGTATCGTATGCGACGAGACTTGTATAATATTATTATAATAGTATATATTGTGCGCACGCACTACGATATTATAAGTGTCCGTGCGATTGCCGGGAAAATAATAATAATAACAATAATAATAAAAAGGTATATAATATAATATATAAATCGATTGTTGGGTATACGAGCGCAATTACAAAATATAATTGCCGCATTGTCCGGCGGTCGGATTTCCAGGGCACGGTGAATGGGTTCCTAATTGTTTCTGAAATGAGTCTGACGTACCGTGAAATAGGGTGAATATAATATTCGCCCGACACCGGAGAAACTGTCCATTGTGGCGGCAGCAGCGGGACGCGTTCAATAGGACTCTGATTAACCGGTCGCGTGAGCGCTCTCCGCGTCGCTCCGTCTCTGTAAAAAACGTAAAAGTATATTATATTTATATGTGTGTGTGTGTGTGTGTGTATAGCTATGCCAATTACCATAATTTGGTTTACCGATATATCAAAGCGGTTTGAAAATTGAAAAAACAACATTCGGTCGCTTTACAGGTACCTATTATTATTATTACTATTATTATTATAGTCGTCGCCGTCGTCGTCGTAGTCGTTATAGATTATTATGATTATTACCATTATATTGACGGATGTAATTGAAAGGATATAATATCCTGCTATAAATCCATATACAACATATATTATTATTATTATTATGATACGCGTATTAACGGCGTCCTGCAGCATGCAGTTTATATAGGTACGTAACAATAATAATACGTATACCGATATACGTAATAATAATATGCTCGAGTGTTATAATGATCTAGCGGCGGCGGTGATTTATTTCACGCTCTTTATTATAATATACATTACATTATGGGGATGGCGGTGGCGGGCGGCGGCTGCCCTGCACACCTGCCGGACAATCGCGTCAGAATTAACCGAACGCCAAGAGGTTGTCGGCGCGCGTGCGCGCACGGGCTCGTGTACAAAAATAATATATTATATAATATCATAGTAGGTACCTACCTATGACTGATAGGTCTCTTCACGCGCACACCACGACTGCCGAGCCTCTTTGATGTGTGTGCCGTCGTCTGTCGTGACTAAACGATTATTTGTACAGCGCGCGTTATAATATTATGCGCATAGGTTGGTAGGCACTCGTCAAGATGAAATATTACGTATCTATACCTAATGTTAGGTAGGTATACTTTATGTGGTAATCCGTATGAGGGGAATATTGTGTTGCTTACAGCTTACACCACTCTGTACGACGTAGAATACACGGGGGTTGCGTGTGTAATAAACCGAACTGCTTGCCGCAGCAACAAGATAAGTCCGCGTCTTGAAATTGTTCAGGGCGACCGTTTCGCAATTCCCTAACCCTTTTAACACACGGAAAATTATAATTCACGAAATGTATGATGACTCGGAAGAAAATAATGTGATTTGTATGGTTGTTACTTGTTGTACTACACTACTACCAATATATTATAAAGGTATTTCTTCCATGAAAACGATTTCGTGGAAAAGTCGATTTCTCTAATATAGCGATTTAATGTCTTGTTCTTAGAAGCACTGTTATATACTGCATAATAATATGCGTAAGTATTATACTGTTGTTGCAGTTGTGGGCTAGGTGCATATTAATCAAGCGACTTAACATCGTGTGACGTGTACTGCGAGAGCGTGGTAACTATGGTTACAACTGGTAACCATACTGGCATAGAAGTTAAGCGGTAGTCAGTCCTTGGTATAGTGGGTTGCAACTTGGTCATTACATGATACCAAAAAAGTAGTGTCCAATCACAATACGATTTGACCGACACCGCACAACACACACGACGCGTAGTTGTACTTGATAAACAACTCATATACCAGTTACCGCGTCGGAGGCAAGTATATACCCCTATAAGATAAATGTACATCACTATGCCATAATAATATTGTGTAGGTATTGTGTAGAAATTGTCGACATTTTGTTATAAACCAAATATGAGATGGATTATCTGCAGTGATCTTGGAGTAGGTACGTTGAATAACTTGAAGTGCCGACATGTTTTGCAGCTCTATCACTCTGAAAGAAAATGTATGCACAGCTCAAAAAACGAAAACGTAAGCAATTGTTTAAAGCGTATCGAAACATTCGATACACATATACTGCGGTAAATATATATTATACAGTGTTTGAAATGTCAATCTAAAAATTTATTATAATTTTTATATTGTATCATGATTTTTTTTTAAATCTTTGACAACTGTAGTACCTATATGGTTCTCCGCCCCGCTGGACTCGGAAGTACATTTTGTGGCATGTTTTTTATGTAATGATTAACCATACATTTGCTAACCATATATGTATACAATGATTTAAACGTTCATAGAAAATATAGATTTTTCATTTAGAAAAACCATCGATTTTCTGTTTCCTTCGTTAAAAAATTCCTTCTGCAGGTTGTTCGGTATGGCAGGCCTCGATCATATGGTCTCGTTCTCATTAATCACAGCTTACATAGTTACATGATGTTATAAGGTATGAGAGAGATTCTGACGACACTAATATCAGATAGATTTATGGGGTAATTTCTGAAACAAAAAGGAACTGATGTTTAGGGGGGAGGGGTAGATTTTAAATTTTGAATTTAAAAAATTATTTGTTGATAAAACATATGAACCCTTAAACCCTTGTCATTGCTCGTATCATATCACTATATATATTCTCAGCTGTGCCATGCGAATGTGTGTTAGGTATATATATATATATATATATAATATATGTTTAAACGTCGTGAATTACTTTTATTACCATCCCATTAAAGAAAGACAAAATTTTGTCAACGTACGTACAGAATGAAAATAGGGGAAATTATGTTTTGCTATAATATATTATAGTGTACCGGGTACCTCCGTTCGTGGGCGATACCCGTTTGCGTACATTTAACCTTTTTTGCGACTCGTTTGCGTACAAATGTACAACTCGATTGCGCACACGAATTTTTAATACCTGTGATAAATGACCCAAAACGTAGGACTCGTTTGCGTACATAAACTATAGCAAAACAGGCGTGATTAAAAATGTTTTATTTTTTTTATTCAATTTAATTTAAATTAAATTTGTCATTTTTATTTGTTGTATTTGTATTTTATTAATCTTAATGTAATTGCATGCTATAATATTTGGAACCGACTTGTTTTAAATATTCCAATCGATTTATGGATTTGTTACATAATTGTCTAAAACATTTATCTAAACAATTTATTTTTTCTATGGTGTCTTTTCGTTGAACATTAATAATGTTTTTCTTTATTGAATTTAATTTTAATTCTGATTCTGTTTGAATTTGTAATATTGCGTCGATAACTAGGTACATGTTTGGATGTGGCGAGTAAAATTGGCTATTGTAATGACGATGAAAACTTTCTACACCGTTTGTTGTCTTTGGATTATTACTTGGTGCACTTGCCCACATAACTGGAGGAAAATCAGAGTCAGGCAAAATATAATTTTCCAGAATATAATCTGTGAACTCGGTAAACATATTCGTAGGTGCAATTGATAGTAAATCGGTAAAGCCGTCAGAGATTTCATTAGGTGGTAAATAACTTAAACCGAAAAAACATTTTAACCATGTGCCAATTTCTGATGATTTGTTTAAATATTCTTTTAAAAGTAGTTTATTTTGTTGTATACGTCGATACCAACTTTGACCAAGATGGAAATTACAACAAACTATTACACAATTCGGAAACTTTTCTAATACAGCATTATGAGCGGCTTTTTCAAAATCAACATGAAAAACATTTATTTGAAGTGGTTTGTTGGTCAGTTGTATACACAATTTTTCTAACATATCCCATAACATCAAATAACTTGAAGTTTGTTTGTTACGTAAAAAACAATACACAAGAGGAATATAAAAGTTATTTTTGTAAATATGTAACGTATATAATTGCATAAAAAATTTTGGAGCATAAGTAAATGTCCCATCTCCAAAAACATGTTCCGCGTTTGAAATTGCCTCTAAATTTATTTTACATGTAAATACAATTATATTTTTATCATCACTCATAAAACAAAATTGTTCACCCTTGTATTGAATTTTATTTTGCATTTCATTTAACTGTTCAATAGCAATTTCGATCGATGTCGGTAAATTCGGAAAATGCTTTCTTCTTATATCATATATAGAACGCCTAAATAATTTCATATCTGTATGAGATAAATTTATCGAAATATCTTCCATACTTTGTAAATTGCGACGTATTAATTTACTTGGAAGTATATGTAAGTCATCGTTTGCTTTTCGTTTTAAAGAACTTCTAATAATTTCTCTAGAAATTACCTGGTCAGTGTGTGCCTCGTGGTTGTGCGTGTTTGATGTATTCATTACCTTGTATTCTTTATTCACTGTAATTCTTGATGCACATTTTTTATTGGTACATCTAAACAATAGATCACCTGATTTTAAAACACGAAACTCACTAAACTTGTAATTTTCTACATTAAAACAACGTTTTACGCAGCGCGTTTCAAAAATATTTGATATTTGGATATCCATGATGCTACGTTAAATGAAATGACTAAAGGACTGACAACTCGTTAACAATACACGTTCAACTAATATACTAATACTATAGTAATAGGAATAATGGTATAAAATAACTCAAAAAGTCAAAACGTAGCCGAATTATCACGGGCTAAAATTATAACTTATACTCAATTCAATTATTAGTACGTGTATCTTATCGATAGGTTATCGATAATTGATAAATGGTATCTATATTAAATTGCATTAAGTACCATGGCTAAGTTACAATATAAGTCTAAATTGAGTACGCAAACGAGTCGTCATTTTACAGGTCGAAATGTGTATTAGTGGGTTTTCACATTTTTCGTTGTACGCAAACGAGTTGTCGGTTTACAGGTAAAAAATTGTGTACTGTGCGCAAACGAGTATCATCGCCGTTCGTGATATATATTGTTTCTCGAGACGCGAGCAGTTTAATGGATTTCTTTTCGTGGCGGTCCAATATAGTATATTAACCACGACAGGTATTATAGTGTTATAAACAGGTATATAGGCGTAATACTTCTTCCTACTTACTTATATCGTTGTATTGTAGGTAGCACAATGAGGTGGTAATTGACGGCGACTTATAAGTCGTAATAATACAATGTAAGTAAGAGGAATGTCGACGACGACTGAGGTATAATTGCCGCGAGCCGGTGAACTTGTTGAGGTCAATTATTATTGTGGGGTAGGTATACCTATATAATATTACAACTATATGAGTATACTGTAGTAAATTAATAATATGAAATATTATAATTTTTCGACATTCTGCCGCTGTATAAAACGTCATGCATACATGGTTATCCAAATTTTGTGATTCAAAATGTAATCCTTCTTAAGCCGATATTTTGTGTCCTCAAATTTTGAGCTGCCCTGTTTAAACCATTGAATGTATCGACAGAAAGGTTTCGTTTCATTAAATTATGTATTATCAACTGTTATTCACCCTGGACGTAAATCGCGGACGAAAAGCGTAAAATATAATATTATATTCATTGACGCAAGGCGTAACCTATATTTCGATTTTTACGAAACGTTTTCGACGTACAATAAGCTTGCTTGAAACACTGTTTCATCAAACACCTAATCACTAGCCGAATTTACTATTTTTATGCACCTCCGTCAAACACTCGTACACAATATAATACACGTAGTCACACTTGAAATGCAATAACCTACCATATTATATTCATATCTATACACGCACATGTATATAGTTATTTATATAATATTTTATACATATCGCATGATAACATAATTGTTATAAATATATGTTTCTGAAGCAGTGAACTTTGCATGGCTAATAAAGTAATATACGTCTATATTTAATAAATTAAATCAACTGTAAATTAGAGTTTATAGTCCACATGATACAGGCATATCTTTTATAAATTATAATGTACTGTTAAAATAAGTACATATTAAATAAAAAACAGTCAATCGTTCAATATGTAGGTACGGATTGAATAGAAATTTTTCATGCATATTGCAATACATGTAATTAAAATAACAATATTAGACATTAAATAAAAAACAGTCAAAATAAATAAACGAGTTCTAAATTGAGCATAATTTTATTTAAGGGTACCAGATAATTTTGATTAAAGACCATATATTTAGAATTTTTATAGGTCGTCAAATCAAATCATTATTCATGCTATTTTACAACAATATTTAATACCTAATTGATAAATATATATTAATAATAATATTGTAAGTATATAAAAGATTTTGTTAGGCAATTTTTAATATAATATCAAATATTTTATATGTGCTTTGAAAACGAATTATTTTAAACAAAAAATATTTAAATAATAAAAATGTATAAGTAACAGTGAGATAATGATAAAAAAAATTAATTTAACAGTTGAATTTCAAAAACTATGTATTAAATATCTCTGGTACATATACAGAGTGGGTCAGAGCGTTTTCCCTGTATGTTATTCTAGTAGAATGAAAAGACAAAATTACGTGCTCATACTGTATGCTGGATTTCTCTTTTTCTATCCGCTATGATATGACTGTTGTACAGGTTTGAAGTCTTGTAGATTTATATGTTTGGATTTGCAGTATAATAGTACCTACATAGCTAACAAGTAACAAGAAAACAAAATAATAATAATAATAATAATATGTATTATTCTCTAATTATGTGCGTGTGTGTGCATTCGTGTATAATGTATAAGTGTAATGTTATTGCACGTGGCCGAAGAGTGATAATTTTTTTAAAAAAAATAACTAATCCATTTATTGAATAGGTAGGTACTCGTAAAATATCATCATTATATTCTACCTACGTATTTAGTCGTGTCTGCTCAGCTTCCGTAGAAAACACGATAAGGACGCCCCGCGAAGTTCTGAAGGAGCAATCCTCTCGGCCACAACAAACAACACGTCAGTTCATATTATATATATATGTATATATATATATCAATATGTGCGCGTTATATAGATTTACGGTGTATATATCTAATACTAGTCCGATACCAATTTTATAATTCATTAAGTGTAATAATTAATAAAACAGAACCAACTGTAAACAGGTCATTAATAAGAAAAAATTTTTTTAAAAATGTATATATATAAATGTATGTATATAATCGTTCCCCTGACCTACGAACCTTACATCCGTTAAACTTTGATTTGGACCAATTATCAACACTTAAATGATAAGACTCGCGCTCACACACGCGCTCCCAGACACACGTTGCACATAATATATTGTAACAATTTATTATAAAATTATACCCACACGTACGCAGACACACACACACACACACACATATATATTTTTTATTTTTTATACCTATATGATATTACCGAACTCTCGTGATAAGGATTCAAACTAATTATG